GGTCATTTTTAATCATTTTAATCCATTGACAAATAATTTTTTTAGAGGCTAAAATTCTCAGTTTCATAAGCTATAACACATAATTTTTGGCTATTTTTAGTCATTTTGACCAGTTGTCAAATAATTTTGTAGTGGGCAAAATTCATGATTTCATGAGTTATGATCCACGATTTTTGGCTATTTTTAGTCATTTTGACCAATAGTCAAATAATTTCGTGGTGGCCAAAAATTCACGATTTCACTAGCTATAACCCACAATTTTTTACTATTTTTAGTCATTTCGACCATTATCAAACAATTTAGCGGAGGGCTGAATTCATGATTTAATGTGTTATAATACATGATCATTGGCCATTTTAGTCATTTTGAACATATGATATTGTGGAGCCCAAACATCACGGTTTAATGAGCATAACCCATGAATTTAGGCTATTTTTACTTATTTCGATTTGTTGTCAAATAATTTCACGGTGGCCAAAATTTATAATTTCGTGAGTTACCATAATTTTTGCCATTTTCAGTTCTTTCAACCCCTTCATAAATAATTTCTAAGACATTAAATTTTATGATTTCGTTAGCTATAACTCATGATTTTTTACTATTTTTAGTTATTATTGCCCCTTATTAAATAATTTTAGGGAGGCCAAAATTCACGATTTTATGAGTCATAACTCATGATATTTTGCTATTTTTAGTTGTTTCAACCCATTGGAGAAAAACTCATGATTTCTTGAATTATCACCCACGACTTTTGGCTATTTATAGTTGTTTTGACCCTTAGTAAATAGTTTCGTAAGCAAAATTCATGATTTTATGAGCTATAACCCATGATTATTGGGTATTTCTATTGTTTTGATCCATGGTTAAATAACTTTGTAGAGTCCAAACTTCATGATTTAAAGAGATATAACCCATGATTTTTTTGCCAGTTTTAGTCATCGACCCATTGAAAAATAATTTCATAAAGACAAAAATTTATGATTTCATGATTTTTTTTTTGTCATTTTTGTTCATTTTGACCCACTGGCAATTAATTCCGCGGAGACCAAATTTTATGATTTCGTAAGCTATATCACACAATTTTTTTACCAATTGTAGTTGTTTTGAACCATTGTCAAATAATTCCGCAGAAGCCAAAATTCACAATTCATGAGCTATGACTCATTTTTTGCCATTTTTATATGTTACCAAATAATTTTATGGAGGCTTAAAATTCATGATTTTATGAGCTATAACCCATGATTTTTTAATTTCTAGTCATTTAGACGATTGTCAAATAATTTCACATAGTCTAAGATTCACAATGTCACGAGCTATAACCCATAATTTTTGGTCATTTCTAGTCATTTTGACTAATTGGTAAATAATTTTGTAGAGATCAAAATTTACGATTTCATGAGCTATAATCCACAATTTCTGACTATTTTTTTTATTCTTTCACCTTGTTGCTAAATAACTTATGGAGACCAAAAGTTATGATTTCATGAGCTATAACCATGATTTTTTATTATTTTTAGTCATTTCGATCCATTGTCACATAATTTCACAGGGGCCATAACTTACAATTTCATGAGTTATAACCCACGTTTTCTGACCATTTTTAGTCATTTGGACTCATGGGCAACTAACTTTGTGGAGAATAAAATTCACAATTTCATAAGCAATAACCCACATGTTTTGTCCATTTTTATTAATTTCAATCTGTTATCAAATAATTTCACGGTGGCAAAAATTCACAATTTCATGAGCTATTCATCGTGATTTTGGTCATTTTTAGTTATTTTGACTTGTTGTCAAATAATTTTGTGAGGTTAAAATTCATGATTTCATTATCTATTTTCCATAATTTTTAGCCATTTTTTACTGTTTATGCCCTGTTGGTAAATAATTTTGTGGAGGCTAAAATTCACACTTTTATGAGCTATGAAATTAATGATATTGTTGACAACTGCTGTAAATACTTGATATGATAACTAATACATTATTAAATGGGACAAGTAACGAATACGACATACGAAATGATTTGTCATTGTCCTTTTAAGTCAATTTACCCAGTTTATGCTGTTTCTCACATTTGTTATTCTCTTTTATACGACGAGTAACAAATACAATGATTCTCATATTATTACCTGCAATAACTTGTATATTTTCAAATACATACATCCACTAAGACATACCCCAGCTCAACTTATTTAGATTGTAGAGAATTGCTCTAAATATTTAATACGACAACTAATACATTATTAAATATAACAATAAATAAATTCGATATATGAAATGACTTGTCATTCTACTTTGTGTCAATTTATCTTGTCTATGTTATTTCTCACATTTGCAATCATTTTTTAATATGACGAGTAACAAATATGATGACTCTCATAATCAAATATGATGACTATTTATTTTCAAATGTCTCCAGCTCAAGTTAATGAGATTGTAGGAGATTATAACTCGTAAAATCGTGAATTTTTATCAAAAACCATGGGCTGGTCATAAAATAGTAAATTTTGGGCTCCGCGAAATTATTACAAAACCGGTCAATATGACTAAAAATGGCCAAAATCGTAAGTTATAGTTCACAAAATCGTGAATTTTAGCATCTACAAAGTTATTTCCCAATGAGTCAAAACGATTAAAAATGGCTAAAATCGTGGGTTACAGTCATAAAATCCCAAACGTTGGCCACTGCGAAATTATTTGCTAATGGGTCAAAATGATAAAAATAGAAAAATCATGGATTATAGCTTATGAAATCGTGAATTTTGGCATCCGTGAAATTATTTTCCAACAGGTGGAAATGACTAAAAGTAGCCAAAATATCATGGGTAATATACATGAAATCATGAACTTAGGCCTTCACAAAATAATTTGCCCATGAGTCGAAACAACTAAAAATATCCATAAAGCGTGGTTATGGCTCATGAAATTATGATTTTTAAACTCCGCAAAATTATTTAACGACGGGTCGAAACAACTAAAAATAGTCAAAAAGTATAGGTTGTTGTATTTAATAATATACTAGTTGTCGAATCAAGTATTTTGAGGTGGGATGCATCTTAGTTGACATATTTGAAAATATAAGTCATTGTATTTGATAATATGCGAGTTATCATATTTACTAGTCGTGTTAATAGTGGATTACAAATGTGAGAAACAGTATAGGCAAACTGCATAGATAGACAAGGTAAATTGACTGAAAGAAGATTGACAAGACAAGGCATTTTCATATCTTAGTTGACATATTTGAAAATATATAAGGTATCGTATTTAATAAATATGCGAGTCATCATATCTGTTACTCGTCATATTCAAAGAGGATTATAAACGTGAGAAACTGCATAGGCAAATTAATTAAAACTGCATAGACTAGGTAAATTGACTCGAAGAAGATATTAATGACAAGTTATTTCATATGTTGTATTGTTATTTAATAATTTACTAGTTG